AGTACAAATATCACTATAACCAATATTATCGGATGTAATGATATATCGGATATTATGATGGCAGCAAAGAATCAAAACATGCATAACACACTATATTATTATCGGCTATAGTGATAACTTTAATATACATGTTGCAATAATATCAAAGGCCCTATTTTTTTTACTTTCTTCACGTTGCTTATTTTGATAGTGACACATGTACATGTACATAACAGAATTTTTTATGGAAATGCGGGCGCTGTCAACTATGCAGCATGCTCATTTGTCAAAACGCCATGCTGGAAGTATTTCCTTGCCTTTCATGTGTCGATCGAAAAAAATCGATCGTATCGCATATAGTGATGCATCGGTTATAGTGATAAAATCACGGAAATCAAAAGGGTACGCTATAGCCGATACAGACTGTACGAGATCTTCACGAGACGAGACTGCACCCTTTGACTTGTTTCGTACGAAGCAAACAAGTTTACTGAACCTCTCCACAATGGAGATTTTCGGTCAATGGGTCCTTGAACCTTTCCGTCCAGATTGGGAACTGCCAACGATAGTATGCCACTGACCAGTGCCTTACTTGTAACGTACCAATGTACAATGAATATGAGTATTTCGACAACACATCTAACATAAGCCTTACCGTCAAGAAGGTGAACTCGCGTTCTTCGCACACTGTAGACAAGGGCAAAGAGATAAAAATGGATCTAAATCCGAATAAAATCAGCACACGTTTCCGTAAATGAAAGGGTGAGCATAAGCAAATGAATCGAAGGAAACCGGTCAACTCAGAGATCACCTGTCATCGAGTATTCCGTAAAAGGAGGCCTCGGCAGCGGAAAATGTTGAACAGTCTCTGCTGGGATGACGACTACACCATAGCTCAGTGGTTAGAGCATCGCTAGCTACAAGCGAGGGTCCCTGGTTCGAGTCCTGGTGGTGACAGTCAATTTTTTCTTCAGACTTTTCCCGTTTGTCTCTTTCCCTCAAACTAGTGAAGATTTTATGACTTGGGGCTCCCCGCGTGCTAGAGTGTAGTACGTGAAGTGTGTGGGTACAGTGAGGGCTGCGTCCCACCCGCCTGTGTGGATTCACAGGAAGTGTGAGCTACGAAGTCTGAAGAAAATGTTGAACAGTCTCTGCTGGGATGACGACAACACCATAGCTCAGTGGTTAGAGCATCGCTAGCTACAAGCGAGGGTCCCTGGTTCGAGTCCTGGTGGTGACAGTCAATTTTTTCTTCAGACTTTTCCCGTTTGTCTCTTTCCCTCAAACTAGTGAAGATTTTATGACTTGGGGCTCCCCGCGTGCTAGAGTGTACGTGAAGTGTGTGGGTACGTACAGTGAGGGCTGCGTCCCACCCGCCTGTGTGGATTCACAGGAAGTGTGAGCTACGAAGTCTGAAGAAAATGTTGAACAGTCTCTGCTGGGATGACGACTACACCATAGCTCAGTGGTTAGAGCATCGCTAGCTACAAGCGAGGGTCCCTGGTTCGAGTCCTGGTGGTGACAGTCAATTTTTTCTTCAGACTTTTCCCGTTTGTCTCTTTCCCTCAAACTAGTGAAGATTATTATTATTATTATTATTTTATTTATTTTACTAGGGTGTTTCCCACAGACCTATATACCCTGAACCGCTCCTAACTCAAGGCTGTAGCCTCGAGTTTTCGAAGCTTTTTTTGAAGACTTTTTGGGACGTACAAGTCGTACTTTCTCAAAAACAAACTCTTTCTCCAAGAATCCATGGACATCACGACAGGAAGAAGTGAGGACGCTGTAAAAATAGTGCATTGCCGTCGAGGACAATCATTCTGATAGCTGTGCAACTCAGCCGAGAAATGCTCCTTCGACGTATTTTCTCAAGTTCCTCAACCATTTGAATCATCTTCGAGGAAAGCGCCGGTAATATACCGATGCGGCGATGGCCTGGGGAAGAAATTGTTCTTGAAGAGACTGACTGCACTAGTGAAAGGAGAAGGCGATGAAGAGTCACCATTGCATCGAAAAATAAACAGTTTTGTCTTTAAATAATAGGATCGTGTGCTTTGTTTCACTTTTGCTTCTTGAGGCTCAGACTCAGACTACATTGTAGAATCGCAGTTTACCCTGTCCTGGGGAAGCATCCTGGTTTGACTGTAAATTTTAGAAGAATTCATTGGCGTGACTCATCGCACTGCACCAAAAATGACGCAATGAAGGAATTCCGCCGAGCGGGCTTCCATACACGGACTGATCAGGAGTTGCACACTCTTGGGGGTTATGAACTCTTGATGCTGTCATCAGTGAGCCACATCATTGCGAAAGACTGATGACGGAGAGATCATTGCGCGTGTGTAGTCACAACTACTACAGTATCAGAGAAATACGTTTATCTTCCTATCATACCCTGGTTTCTCATCATTGTGTTGCTTTTGTCATGCCGACGCGCGTGCGAAATGCAAAAATGTGCTTTGTAGCAGGGAGTCGTATTTTACGACTCCCTGATTTGTAGGTTTTCAGCAACTGGCGAACCCCTGTAGAAAGCCAAAAAAAAAAAAAAAAAGCAAGCATGCTCCTTGAGCCACGCAGGCACATAGCACCAGGGAGTAGTACAATACTACTCCCTGCATAGCACCACAACAGCACCACATCTAGATCTGCACATCCCTGTACGCATACCCATTCATGCACTCCCCCCTAACCTTTGCCCTGCTGACCCTTGGCCTCCCTTGCATGCACTGCACTGCATGCACCCCTTTTCCCGCTCACCCTGTCTCACTGTAATCACTGCGTGCACCCCTTTTCCCGCTTACCTATTTCCCACTTACTGCATGCACCTCTTTTCTTTCTTTTTTTTTTGCACCTCTTTTTCCCTCTTTACAAGTACATGTAGTGTAGTTATACCCGGAAGGCTGCGCTTGCGCAGTGTTGTTCTCCCAGTGGTTCTCCTTGTTGTTCTCCGAGTCTTCTCCTTGTAATTATCCCAGTCCTCTCCAGTTCTCTAGTCCTCTTTGTGCTTCTCTGAGTCCGACAATATAACTATTATAACAACCCATAATTCCGTGCAGTCTGAGATAGAGTGTTATAAAGTACAGTAGTATAGTATAGTATTATCGTAGAGTAGTCTCCAGTCCAGCCAGATCCCATATGACTACACTTTGCGGTTTGATGCAAAATTTCAATCTCGTCGGAGCAAGTGGTGTGCACGTATATCGAAGCGATCTTCAATTCCTCAAATCATTTCGTAGTGACAGTGTTCCTTTCTTTCATGTAGTCCCGGAATTATTTTAGCCTAGTCGTTTAGTCGGACAAGAGATGGACATCCCTCTTCATCTCCTTGCGCCATTGCTTCGTACGAGGTATGTGATCGTCGGCCATTGCATGTCTACCCGATTACGATCGTACACAATTCTTGCTCGTAGTCTGAGTCCATCTAATAGATATATTTATTTGTTTGGTAATTTTTCATCGTTTGCAGCTGCAACACTATCGTCATACATCTGCGCGTGAATGCACATGTGCATCTTACCTGGCGATGAGCATGACCCTCCCCCCAATTGAATTGTTGTATAAATTCGTGCAAGGTAAGTAAAATAGTTTACTAAGTCTTGCTGTTAGGTAAATCGGAGGGAGAATTTTTTTCAACAACTCTACAGTACCTGTAGACACGTATGGGTTGTGATGGTGATTGAGTTATTACGGTTGTCATCAAAGAGTTGATAAGATGGGGGTTGCGATGGTGATTGGGTTAGCATAACGATAGGATCTGTACACATAACAACAAGATTTGCTAATAAGGTATATACATGTAGGACCTGTACACACATACATGTAAGATGCTTATTACAGTCCATTTCAAAACTATAGACGCGTACCTAGGCAAAAACCGTTATGCCAGCATCTATACCACATAAAATCTGTGATCACTTTGTGCATAATTTTTTCCAAATAGGGCATCTGTTATCCAATCGTTTGGAAACTATATGAGAGTAATTGTGGAGCGGACCTCAGCAATATTCTGAAAACTATTCTCAAAAAGTTCCAGCCAAATTTGAAATATTTCAAAAACCCTACGCGTCTATAGTTTTGAAATGGACTGTAGGGTTTTTTGAGTGTTGTTGTGGTGATCTGTACACAAAAAAGCAATGGTACGAGGACTTCTTCAACTGTAGCACCTGCACACATAAAAGAGTAGAGTTGCCATGGTAATAGGATTGTTATGGTGATAGGGTTACGAGGGCTACTAGGGTTATTGTCTCCAGAAAAATTAAAATTAGGGGTTATCGTCATGGTGTTATGTTTATCCTCACCAGAAATATTAGGGTTATCGTCATGGTGATAAGGTTATCACCACCAGTAAAATTTAGGGCTATCGTCATGGTGATAGGGTTATCAGGAATATTAGGGTTATGGTCATGGTGTTAGGGTCAGGGTTATCAGAAATATTAGGGTTATCGCCATGGTGATAGCCCTAGAGTTAGGGTTATCGTCATGGTGTTAGGGTTAACTTGGGGTTATCATCATCAGAAATACTGTAGAACGTGTCATTTTAGCGACGTAAAAACCCTAGCGAATTTAGCGATCGACTCATTTTCGCTAAAGTTTCAAGTCGCCGTTGAGACATTAGTAGTGCACTGGTGATCCTTGAGTAAAATCGCTGCTAAACCAGCTGACAATGGGAAAACGCCAATAGTCGCTAAAATTACCCATTCTACAGTATTAGGGTTATTGCCATGGTGACAGCCCTGGGGTTAGGGTTATCGTCACCAGGAATATTAGGGTTATCGCCATGGTGATTGCACTAGGGTTAGGGTTATCGTCATAGTGATAGGGTTAGGGCTATCGCCATGTTGATAGGGTTAGGGTTACCGGGATTATTAGGGTTAATATGGCCCGACTTTTAGGGTTAAAACGCATTACGTCATCGATGACGTCATATGTAAAACGCTCCGATTTTAGGTTAAATCGCACAAATTTACCGTAAATCGGAAAAATAGGGTTAAACGCCCTGGTTTTAGGGTTAACTCGCTATGACGTCATTGCTGACGTCAGTGAGCTGGTACGCCTCAAAATCCTAGTCGACTCGCGCATTTCGCGTCCAAAGTTTGTCGTCAGAGAACTGCTGTTGGTTCTTGCGCAACACAGAGAATGCCTGGTGCTGCAATCAACACCACAATGCGATGGAGAATTGTCACGGAGTACCAGCAACTCCTGGCCAATCGTTCTCGAGTGCCTCCTGGCGGATTGAAATCGCCGTAGTCGCTGTTTCCTTCGCAGAATTTCAGTGAACTCATCCAGAGACTGGTGCAGAAAGCACCAGCATCGCGCCGTCCAGTTTGCTGATCTCTCTCGCAGTCGTTCACGATTATAGCGGTTCACGAAACAATATTACAGAATAATCACCATGCTGCGTGAAAGGAAGGTGCGTAAACGCTTCTGAACGATATAATTGCAATCGAATAGGAGGCATGATCGTGCAATAGCATAGTTGAGACTTTTGTACAAACAGGATTTCTTCAGGGAATGTAACGTTTCTTGCAGGGGATGAAGGTTGAAGTGAGCTGAGAGAAAGTCACCAATGTTTGTTTTCTTCAGAAAACTAATCAGATGTCTGTCGACGCCTAGGAGGCGCTGTCGAGATTGATAGCATCTTTTTTCTGGCATGCATCAGGTCCATGATGTTCTAGAAATGGCGTCGGTGCACCGTCTGCATCCGTCTATAATACAGAGCCGACGAGTGTTCATTGGTCGTAGGAGCCGGTATAAAAAGACTCTACTTGCTTTCGTCATGCATCATTATGCTCAATTTGTCAACAGGGTTGCGTCATCCTGTCTGCCTCGTGCACGAACATCTCGTCCGGATTTTCGGAGCTCGTGCACAAATTTGGAGGTGCTAACTACGATAAAGCCGTGTACTTCCACCCGAACGTGAATAAAATCGGACAAGATGCGTGGAGAATCGACAGCGCCGATATCAAAACCTATCTCAAGCCCCTGGTAGGTGAAGAGACCATCATCTGGGCGGGCATTTACAAAACTCCCATGTGGTACCTTCAACCGACAGATTTGATTGCTTTCCACGCTTTCGTCGTCTTTCAAACGAGAAACTGGTGGTGGTCGGCGGAAAAAACAACCGACGGTGTCAGCATATGCAGAGGAAAGACTCGTTCAAGCGTGAGATCTTCCTATCGAAGCACCAATCGAAAAACTCCGATAGAGGAGATTATTGCTGACAAATCACATGTAAATCTGCAGGATCTGATAGATTTCCTCTACGACTCTAATCTCGTCAAGGGTATTTACAACGTTGTAACAAACAACTGTCATACGTTTGCCTCCACTCTGTTCAACGAACTTGCAGCTAACCACTACGTCAATCATATCGCACTTCGGCATGCCAAACCCATCGACTCGGAGCATGCAATCAAATGAGTACTCGACCCCCATCCAGACACACATTTAGCACAGATATGTTGGTTTTAAAAATTTTAATTATACTTTATACAGCTCGATCTCAGCTTCTTTCAGCGTCATGCTCTTGCATGATATCTTCCCGTAGAAGTTTTGGAGTTTTTCCAAATAGTGATTTAGATGCCTTGACGTTCCAGAATGATCTTTCATTTCTTCTAATGTTCGCCATTCGTTGTCGCTGCATGGAAGGAAACAGATAAAAACATGTATAAGATCTCTGGTATTTCAAATAAAGAGAATTGCACCACAGATCACTTACCACGAACACAGAAACTCAGGCTGTAGACCGGCCTCCAGCTTCTTTCTGTGGTTCTTGGGTCGTAGATGATCCACGAACGGCCGGAGGCCGTTCGCTGTCTTTGCGCAGACAGAGCACGACAGCAACATCTTGATAGTTGAATGGGACTGATCAAGGTGGATCCAATCACTTTTATCCCCGTCCAGTTGTTCGTTGGTTGAAGGGTGCGGCGCGCGCGCGCGCAGTTCAACATTAAAACTCTGCGCGATGATCATGGAGTCCACCGCTCAGGATGTGAAGCGCGTAAAGCGGTGACGTGAGTACTACATCTCTTTGAAACGTGCACAATTCATATGAAAACCGCTAAAGATGATGGCCATGGACCCCGCGTCACGTTCAAACTTGTCGCCGGTTCCAGTTGATTCCAGAAACTTCCACCGGATCCGAGCACGCTGTGAGTACTCTGAGCGAGAAGTGGGAAACTATCGACATTTTGGTACTCTCCGGTTGATGCAGACGGAGAATTGAGAATTGCACGACAGATCACTTCCCATGAGCAGAGAAATTCGGACTGCAGACCGGCCTCCAGCTTTTCCTGATGTCCCTTGGACTTCAGGCGGTCCACGAACAGCTGGAGGCCGGTCGCGGTCTTCATACAGACTGAGCATGAAAACAGCATCTTGATGGTTGATAGTTGAATGGGACTGATCAAGGTGGATCCAATCACTTTTATCCCCGCCCAGTTGTTCGTTGGTTGAAGTCCGCCGCTCAGGATGTGAAGCGGGTAAAGCGGTGACGTGACTACTACATCTCTTTGAAACGTGTGCGATTCATATGAAAACCGCTAAAGATGATGGCCATGGACCCCGCGTCACGTTCAAACTTGTCGCCGGTTCTAGTTGATTCCAGAAACTTCCACCTGATCCGAGCACGCTGTGAGTACTCTGAGCACGCTGTGAGGAGTGGGAAACTATCGACACTTTGGTACTCTCCGGTTGATGCAGACAGTGTGTAACCTTTTGATCCGCGTACGTGAGACGCCCCGGTTTAGGGTAAAATCGCTATGACGTCATCGATGACATCAGTTAGTTGGTACACCCATAATACTTTCTACTTGTGTGTGTGTGTGTGTGTGTGTGTGTGTGTGTTGTGTGTGTGTGCATGTTGTGTGCATGTTGTGTGCATGTTGTGTGCTCACACGCAGGGTGCATGCGGCTCCAGCTGGGCGTTCAGCACAACCGGCTCCACCGAAGGCCAGCACTTCAAGAAGACTGGCAACCTTGTATCGCTGTCCGAGCAGAACCTGATTGACTTCAACCAAAAGGAGGCTGATCGTGGCTGTGGCGGAGGTTTCATGGACCATGGCTTCAAGTACATCATCGAGAACCACGGCATTGACACAGGAGAGCTACCCTTACACGGCCAAGGCCGGTACATGCCGCTTCAAGGAGTCGCACGTCGGCGCCACCCTCACCAGCTACAAGGACATGCTGCCGCGCAAGTCCGAGAGCGCCCTGCAGGAGGCTGTTGCCTCGGTGAGTACTTTTCTTACACATAACAGAATACTCTCTGCATGGTGGCCCATATTAGAAGCTGTGTCTTAGAAGAACATATCCGGCTAAAGATAAGAAAGCTTTATCATACATGTATATACCACTCTTTGGTTTTAGATTATTACAATGAGAGTGCACAATCAATGGCTTGTCCACCAACTCTTTGTTTTACTGCTTGCTGCACCACAGCATAGTGTGTTGTTGGCCGGCCCACTGCGCTTCTACTCTGTTGGACCATCGTGTCTGTTGAACCAGGGAGTCGTAAAATACCGGTATTTTAAGACTCCCTGTGTTCAACCATTGTGTTATCATGTCTGTTGCAGCTTTCCCGGTCAGCTTATTGACTCTTGTTGTCGTTAAGAAATCTGATGATGTAAAATAGTGGTGTGGATGTTTTGAAAGTGCTACAGTCTGTTTCGGATAAGAAATATTTCCCAGCACTTGATTGCATTCGGCGATGTATAGAAACATATACATGTAATTGTAATACTCTTCACTCTCTGTGTGTTCTCTTCTGTTCCTGCCGGCTGTCGTATCGCAGGTTGGCCCAGTGTCGATTGCCATCGACGCCTCATCGACGTATTTCCGCTACTACAATCACGGAGTCCTGATCGACAACAAGTGCACCAACGCTTACCCGAATCACGCTGCCCTGGTTGTCGGCTACGGTGTTGAGGAAGAGCAGGACTACTGGCTGGTCAAGAACACCTGGGGTACCAGCTGGGGAGACAAGGGATACATCAGGACGGCACGTAACCATGACAACATGTGCGGGATCGCCACGGACGCCAGCTATCCGATCGCCTAAGCACACATCGCCGGGACAGCGCCGTCAAAGAAAAAGCGCTCGCACACGCCTTTGTCGTGTGATGTTGTAACTTATCTACCATCAGTATAGCTGATTGCCACCGCCACAGCTGCTGCTGCTGCTGCTGCTTGTGTGGCGCAATCTTCCTTACACTATCAGCCCGGATCATCCATTCGCGCTATGATCCAAGCTTGCAGCCTATATCAATCCTATCTTCTGAAAATTGTGGTCAGCTTGCTGTCTGATGATCGGTTAAAACAGTGAAACTCAGAGTTACAGAAGAAACGCTTCTCATCCCTCTCAAGTGTGTTTATTTTATATAAGGCCACACCGTTTTTTTTCTATGTTTCGCGTCATGACTCCTATCTTCTGAAAATTGTGGTCAGCTTGCTGTCTGATGATCGGTTAAAACCAGGGAGTAGTACAATACCGGGAGGTGACACGGCCACACATCCGGGATTACGAGCTTTGCCTCACAAAAAAAATACAAACCGCGCGAAAATTCAAATTTTTGCTCTTTTGACAGCGATGAGAAACCTTCAAATAGTGACGAGAAGACCAGACGTATCCCTTCGTGACAAGCGGCCACTTGTTCTTTTCAGCTCGAGCCTTTTTTGGGAGCTACTCTGGTACATCGTCCACACTGCTGCCAAGTCTCGACTTCCCAAAATGGATGGAAGTGACGAATATGGAGGACGCTATCCTAGGTAAGTAACGTGATGGAATTTTCTCATCTTGACATGGTGTAACACGAACCTGAATTTCTCATTTGGACCCACTCGGACACCTCACCAAGTTGGGATATTTCGAAAGTATACCTATTTGTCTACCATTCTACTTCATCTCAACGTGTTAGCTTATGTAACTCTTTGTAAAACTCATTCTGAAAATTTTGAAACTTATTAATTTGTATAGACTTGAACATAATGTTCAAGATCACTTGTTTTCAGCACTGAATGAGGCCAGGCCTGCTTGCTTTGTTGCTTTTTTAACCCCCAGAACCCGTGGACAGAAGAGGAAGAGCGACGACTTGGGTGCGGCTGCGAAGTCTGCCTGCCCAACGCCAATTGCTCCTCACCCAAAAAGTAAACAAATTATATAGCAGGAGTGGTTTCAAGTGGTTTCAATGCATTTTGTTTTGGGGATGTTGGTGTGTACTTATGCAGTCCTAGCGTGTTGAGCAATAGCAATCATGAGAAGGGTAATAATTCTGCAATACAACATTGTTGATTATAAATATGACACTGAAGCAATACTGAAACTACGTTTTGGGGTTGTATTTGTTTTCATGCGTGTTCTACAGCGCACCCCATTGACGAAGATCATCCTTGTATAGACGATGATAAATACTCTCATCTGACAAGGTTAGTTGCACAGTTCTACCATATGTGTAAGGTGGACGTCGGATATAACATGGCTTATCTCTTTTTGGTATGCCATCTACTGCACAGAACACGTCATCAGAAGTCACTGCCTGCTGCGAATAACAGCGCATCGTGTATGACAATCTCTTCACCAACAAGTGCTACCCGTAAGTCAGACAGCAGAGTACAGTCATTCAATAATAGCCAAGTAAGCCCATGCTTTATATGCTTATATGACAATAAGCTGATGGAGGAAAAACAGATCCAATTACATAAAAGTACGCCCAAAAAAGCAACGGCCAAACACGCACACACCAGAACAATTTCAATGCTCTTCATGCACACCAACTAGGCTTATAAATCTGCACAGTGTACGTAAATGAAATATCTTATCCGCAGATCGCATCTGACTTGTTTGATAAAACCTGCAGCAAAACTAAAGCACAACACAGACATATCGATGAAGCCTGTGTGGTTTTATGTTTGTTCTGATTCATACAGCCTCTTGTCCATCGTCACATGAAGAACATGGACAGCCGCAAGCTGGAAATGATTTCTCAACAGCAGAGAAGAACGATACTATCACATTTGCGAATAGCTGCCCCTGCAGTATAAAATTTATTTTATTTTGTGTTTCTCTCTGACGACTATAGCATCTGGATTCGGAATAGCCTTACTATCTTGAGACGGGTCAGCCATACCTGAAACATGTTGTTCATTGTGACTAAAACTTGAGTCAACATTATCTATTCCCCTAGAAACGACGTGAATAACTAAATGTAATACAAATTAAATTAGGAAGAAAATTTCACTCTTACAAGCCGCCCACGTAAATACTGGACACACTGAAGGTACCCGTGCGAAGGCCAGCTGCTACTTGATATCCTTCGTAGGATTCATCCTCATCACTCAGCAAAGACTGATGGATTCGTTCCCTACATCGTCAAAACAAACTTCAAAAAGTACTGCTCGAAAACTTCTTGACAGTATTCTGCCACTCTCTTCAAGTCGTTCTATGAATTTTTTTGAAAAATGCTACGAAATTTTTTTTTTGTTTTTTTTTTTTTTGTTTTTTTGTAGTAAAAGCCTCTTTTACGGGCGAACAAAACACAATTTGCCATGGCGGAAGGATTGAAAACAAATCACATAATGATGACGTCGCATGTGATCAGACAGCAAGAGAAGCATAGCATAGTCCGCACAATCACGGGGCAAGGCTCAACGGGACACCCTAGCCTCCACGACAGCCAGGGAGGCACAGCCATCCATTGGAGGCTGCCAAACTCGGCGAGCCCCACGCAGACACATGACACTCGAACGCAGCAGGGCGAAAGACAGCCTGCAGCGGAGGTGGGCAATTAGCACAGAATACGCCTCCCTCCCACGTAGCGACTGGAGATGTGCAATCCGGCTCACCAGTGCAGCGGCACCCTTGCCGCATCCTCCGGTGGAAGAGAGCACAAAGGGGAGAAAAGTGGATCGCTCCACTTCTCGGACTCTCCGATCATATCGACGCCGTTTCTCTTGCTCATGGTGCCGGTAGCAGCCAGAGAGAGAGGAGGTGCGGTTCGAAGACGCATAAGGGTTGAACACCCGTACATCAATAAAAGTGCGTTCGAACCGACCCCCCCCAAACTCCACTGGCCACCACATCCAAACGAGCTTGATCCTCGGTTGATGCTGACCGGAGCTGAAACTGCTCCCCAGTCAGGGGTTGGAGATGTGGCTCCACTGCGACGTTGTGGGCGACACCCTTCAATGAGCTTGCCAGTATGTCACGCACCTCGTTGTGGCGGATCGAGGGGAACCCACCGAAAGGACAGGACAAGGCGTGAGCAGTGGTGAATGCCTTCTCGCAAACACAGGTGGTGGGCAGGCGAGAAGGCGTCCAACCGTAACGGAGGCAGAGGCCATCCCGGAATTCCCCCTTCGACAAAGCGAAGCCATGGCGAGCGATGGGTCGGCAGGTAAGCCAGCTTGATGCTCCCTTCTCCTCTGCCAGACTGATAGCGAGATCGAATTCGCTGTGTTCGGTGCGGAACGTATCGGCAGCTAAAAATGCTACGAAATGCTACGATAAATGGTACGCGAAGTACGATATTTCGTGACGTTTCCCGGGACACAGCGCGCGAAGTACGATATTTCGTGACGTTTCCCGGGACACAGCGCTCCACAGAAAAGTGACCTGAGGCAAAGCTCGCCCGCCTGAATGTGTGGCCGTGTCACCTCCCGGTATTGTACTACTCCCTGGTTAAAACAGTGAAACTCAGAGTTACAGAAGAAACGCTTCTCATCCCTCTCAAGTGTGTTTATTTTATATAAGGCCACACCGTTTTTTTTCTATGTTTCGCGTCATGACGTCACCTTATTCGATGAAATCAATGAGCATGAGGGAGGGGGAAAAAAATAAAAAAAGTCATCCAAACAAAAAAACAGTGTACGTGCATTGCATTTGTGTACAGTAAAGCGACGTGACACTGACTGTCTGTTCATGTACATTAACATGAACATTGACATGTCGGATTTCAGGTGCCAGCACTGTACATGATATACATGAGTGTACATGTATCCCCTCTAGGCCTCTGCCATACTTGTGCCAGTTCATGTGGCGTGTGGTCCAAACACAGGCAGCATGATTGTGTGACTTGCGGCCCAGCTTATTGCACACACAATGTTCAAATGCCATGTACATGTGTGTGAGCTGAGTACAATCATGCGATAAATAGAACAAATATTTAATTGATGCCAACATAATATTTACGTGTAACAATCATGTTCCGCAGGCATGCTTCCCTGTTCAGCGTGTTTAACGCATTCGTGGCATCTGCCATTAAGACCGTATCCTCCTGGTCGAACGCCTGCTGTATGGCATCAAGAGTACATAACCCCCGGGGGGTTATGTACTCTTGATGGCATGTATCGCCGCCTCGATCCCGCAGTCCTGGCCTGCACAGAGTTGAAGGGTGCCAACTGCCTCTTGAATATCCTGACCAATTACGTACAGGATGGCCTTGCCCACCACTCTCCGCATCACCTCGCCAATTCCAATGGGTAAAGCGGGATTCACAGAAGCTTTTTTGCGATGCGACACGCGATGCGACAGACGCGAAACCGGGAAAACCCCAAATCGCAGCCATGTCGCACCCCACGCAACTGCCGCAACTGGGCCATCGCATGCCATCGCAGAAGTTGAGCTTGGCTCAACTTTTGCGATGCGATGCGATGCGACAAGCGATTTGGTGTACGATTTTGACCTTTTCTACAGCAAAGTTGTACAAAGGTGCAAGAGTTGCCTATAAATTTTTACAAGTTGTGTCAAACCGCGCGAATATCATGGTGACGTACCCAAATCAGCAAAACTTTGTCGCATCGCTGACTTCTTCTGTGAATGGTATTTCGCGAGTTCGCATCGCACGCATCCATCGCAGATCGCGTCGCATCACAAAAAAGCTTCTGTGAATCCCGCTTTACCCCCGGGTTCTTGTTGAGGGGGATGAGTCGGGATGCCAGATACGCTTCCAGCGATCGGGGGTCGACCAATTCGGTCGCCACACTTCGAGCAGAGCTTGCCAGCGCATCGCATAGCGAGTCAGACGCATCGGAGAACATTGTGCACATCCACCTCCATGCCTCAGCGTCTACACCTGACGGGCCGGCTGCGCCATGAGTGTTGAGTACCGCCTTTCTCACCAAGTCACGATTGAGACCAGAGAACCTGACCGGATGAGGCTGAGGAGGGGGAACACCTTGTATCAGGGCCTCCGTGGCTAGGGGCGCAGGGTCAGGGTGTTTGTGTGGAATCTGGATTTGGTCGTAGTCGCGGAGGTAAGTTCTCTCCGTTCACTTTTACTGTACCGACGGTGCACTGTGCATTGGCATGCTCCCACCCTCTCACGGTTCTGTGTAGTGCATTTTGTCGCTGGGTTCTGATCG